ATCGATTGTTTGATCGATGGTGGGATTTCGGTGTATCCGGATCTGCGGGGCTCGAGGCAGGATGTCTCCGGCGCCTTTCGCTCCCGGGGCTCTCTCGCCTCTTGCGAGAGAGTGGCCATCCCCGTTTCGGGCCGGAATCTCTGCGGAAGAAGGAACATTTTACGGCGGTACCCAGGTTCTTAACGGGATGGGCAAGCCAGAAATTTGGTGCGAAAATAATATTTACCGGGCGTGATCCGGACTTGGTGGCTCCTGCTCGGTACTCAATCGTCCTCTTCGTCCTCTCACTCTTTCTCTCTATTGGTTTCCTCGGTTGAGACACGTACCCTATACAAAATTGCTCGCCGAAAACGCCAAAAATCGCTCAAACAAAAATCATACAAAAAGTAATTCGCCAAACGGATGCGCGAAGCGTATCCTCCGACGCGGTAGAAGACGCAAAATGATTGTTCGGGTGCTCTCTCTCTCTCTCAAAATTTGGCGAGAGAGCAAAGGTTCCCGAATTTCCCGCCTTCCCGGCCGGGCCTTCGGCCCTTGTGACGGACAGTACAAAATGTCACGTCACAACATATACACACACAGTTTATATTTAAAGATAAAAACTATTTAAAAATATAAGAGTTATTTTACAAAGATTGTTTTACAAAATATCAATTTTACAAGAAAATTATTTAAAGATTTTTTTTAATTCTTTATATAGCTTTTCTGTAAAATCAATATTTTTGATTCAACATAATTTACTTCTGTTGAACAGATATATAGAATTAGAAATGTATCTGATTTAAGTCTCAAATATATTTGTTTTTACATGGGTAACCATGCACATATGTATATTATTTACAATGCAATAATATTTTAATGGATAAATATACTAATATTAATTATATATATATGTGAATATATACATACCTTTATATTTGATGATAAATGACGAAAATACGTGGAGCATTTGATGAACGCACAAGAAAAAATAAAGTTTGAAAGCTTATTTATTACCATAGCAACAACATGTATGTGAATATTATTTTATATATATTCATTTATACAATATACAGGGTGTTAATTAATTTGTTTCATTAGCACATAGCAATATTCCATAATAAAAAATAATTCAAAAATTTGTATCATTTTTTTCTATAATACTTAACAAAAGAACGATGAATTATTTTGTAAACAGACATACAATGCTGAATAATTTTTATTTAGTAATTTTTTTTTGTTAAACATTAAAGAAAAAATTTATTCAAAATTCTTTTTTTCAACAAAAATTTAGTGCACAAAATATGTATATATTACAGAGTATAATATATTTATTTAATACAAAATATACAAGATAAGTATATCTTATTATACTCATCATATATATATTATATTCATAGTGATAATCTAATTCATTATCCGACCAATCGTTCGCTAATAAAAGAGCACCTCCTGTATCGTAAATCTTACGGATCTCAGCATAAAATTGTTATAGTTAGAAAAAAATATATATATATATGTATGTGTAAAAATTACAATTATTAACCAAACATTTCATACTTATTATATGTATACTCACCTGCTAGAACCGTCCTCGAGATACTATGATGTTTCTTCGTATTGTTTATTAATTTCTTTCTTCCTTCGGCTGTTGCTTTCATGGGATCATAACTTTATCGTCTCTTCCAATTTTGAAACTCTACTTCTTTGAATGTAACAGTAGAATTACTTTTAATCAGATTTTTTGTGATCTTTACTTGACTTTTGATTTGTTTTTCGATTATTAGGAGAATGCTAAAAAAAGGAAAATTACGTTTGAAGTATCTTATAAGTGAAATATAATTATATTCATATAGACGCAACGCTTACATGAGTAGGTTTCTGGACTCTTATACTAAATCTTCCAGTATCAGACATAAACGATACTCTGAATTTCGTTGCTTCTGCTTTTTTCAATGATTCATTCTTATTGTGCATTCCGACGCTGTTTGTGCGATCACGATGATAACTCTATTGCTTATTCGCAGGCGCTACAGTCTTTACTTTCGACTGCGCTCTTCTCCATCTTTCCTCGGGGATTGTATTCGTCGTTATGTCGGATTCGCAATTTAATCTATAAGAAATATATATTTAACTTAATTACTTATAACAAGATAAAAGCAGAAAAGTACTAGAACATTATATTTTCTAATAATCTCAGAAATAAATATTTTTATCGGCTCTCAATATAAAGAATATAAATATGATGTTTTCTAAATCGGCCAACAGAGCCAAAGCACGAAAAATTAATTATTCGGAACTGTATCTCTTGGTTTGAGATCACAAAGTTCCATATATAAATTAATCTGGAAACTATATAGAGAAATAGGCGCGAAAAATATAGGTCCGAAAAGTCGCTGAAGCGGGAATCGAACCCGCGTCTTTCACTTTCCGGGCGACTGCTCTTACCATTTCTCCTGCCTATTTCTCTATATGTAAGTTTCGAGATTAATTTATATATGGAACTTTGTGATCTCAAACCAAGAGATACAGTTCCGAATAATTAATTTTTCGTGCTTTGGCTCTGTTGGCTGATTTAGAAAACATCATATTTATATTTTTCTAATAATGTTTGATAAATTTAATTTATATGACACATACTTTGCTCTTCTTATGCTGAAAGCTTTGTTTAACTTAATTCGAGATGAAATTGGTGTCAAAGGAGATTTTCTTTGTTGTTCACCAGTTTCACTACTACTCAGAAGCAACAATAAATCTTCTTCTCAATAATATTCTATCAATGTCGTTACTATTGAAACTACTGTAACACAAAATTCTACAATCTTTCAAATACTCGCGTTACACTCGATGATCTCTATATATTAAGGCTGCGTTCTGATATTCACTGCTAGTACTGAAAATCTATAATGTATGTGACGTAAACTATAGAATTTCAATACTGACAATAAATATCGGAATGCAGCTTAAGATGTTGAATAGATATGTCCTTATCAAAATAACAGCTAATTTCATAATAATTCGTAATGCTGTTAAATTTTTTAGCATATATGGACTATCTTTTCAAATTTAGTATGCTGTTTAAGAATTTATGTGTCTACAAAAAATAAAATATACCTATTTTTAACACATATAAAATATAACCTACATTTTGTAAAATACAGCTTATATTTTTCGCTTCTGATGACTTTGTCAAGTACTTAAATCTTTCTAAAGTAAGAGAATTATAAAGATTTTCGTTGATGCAGCTTTACGACTCACAATTGGACTATTAGTTAATTTTAGCATAGATGGTCTGAGTACTTAAAATCGTCTTCGTTATATTTCGTACTGTTTTTTCTGGACGTATTAGATTTGTAATATCAGAAGCATATTCTTCCCTATATTAATTAAAGAAAAGAAAAATGTCTTAAAACACAGAAAAGAACTCACTAATTATATATAAATTAATAAGGTAATTGTAAAAAAGAGGAATTTCCTCACCAATTTGGTTAAGGGGATGCCGGAGGTCTGCTTTTACCGGCCGAACCGATTATATTTTGCCAACACCAAGAAGTTTTTATTGCGTTAATAGAATAACAAATGTTTTCCACGATTAAAGTTAATACAATAATAAAGTAGGAAGCTGTCTGAATTTGTGATAAAAAGACAAAAAATTATTAAATACGAGTTTTTTTTCTGGCTTCTCGCGTCACGTCATAACAATATTTGCTTGTATAAAAGTTTCACAATTTATACGTACAAAATAAGACAAGTTCCTACAAAAGATTGCATAAAGGAATATTAGTGAGCTTGCAGAAATAAGTTTAAAAGTCTAATAAAAAAGATCTTGGTGCAGAAATATTTCATTCACATGTGTATGTGCGAAATGACATTTGGGAATAATACAGAGCAGAAAATTAGTTGCGCGATGTTGCGATAGATGGAGCTGCAATCGTGCAGTTAGACAAGGACAGACAGTCATATTATCTTCGTCTCTCTCATGCTGTCTTGTCTTCTGACCACGGTGTGTATACGACCGTGCTTCTGACACACACTCTCCCTCTCTCTCTCTTTCTCTTTCTTTCAAATTGCTCGTTCATAATTGTATGCGAGTGATTTGAGAGAGAGAAAATATACTTTCTAAAAATTAAAGTATGTAGGTATAATATGCCAATATTATATATATGTGTATATATATATATATATATATATATATATATATATATTATATATATATTTCGAAAGGGGCAAATGTTTGGCGTCATATTTTCGTCCCATGGTGTGGACAACACACAAACTCAAGTATACGCTGCTTTGTTGTTACGCGTATGAACGTGTATAGCACCGCGCGACGTGAGTGAGACGTCGCGCAGTAGATCATATCAACGTATAATACGCGCGGATTACTGTGGTACATACCCAGCAAACACCGATATATAATTGTTACATTGCTATAATAAAATGGAATATAACACGCAATATAACGCAAATGTACTACGTTATATACACGTTAGGAGTAATTTCCTACTCATATAAATTACAGATATATAACGTTAATGTAACACATAAATAACATGTTATATAACTTTAAAAAGAATTATAAAATAATTCTATAACTGCAATATAAATTACAGAATTGTTATAAAGCTATTATGTATGTGTTATAAAACTGTTATATTTATGTAATAAGACTTTTATGTTTACTTGTTACTAAATTGTTACATATTTAATTGAGAATAAAAATTTTAATTATTACATATTTATTACAAACGCGAATACTACAAATATCAAATTCTTTAATTAATTTCAAGCAAAATTAAATAAAATTTTATTTCACTTTTTTATATGTATACATATATACATTAAACATAGTTATATATACGTGTTGTTGCTCAGGTACGTACAGGTACACATGTGTAAGCTTATGAAATATAGCAACATATATAAATATATTAACATTTTTGGTATTCATTATCTATCACATATATATTTTTAAAAACTTAAACCAAAGATAATACTTAAAAAAAAAAAATTTCCTTTAATTAGAGAACGGAAAATCTAATTATTTTCCTTATCTTGTTCCTGTGCTCCTCCTTTTTCTTCCCTCTGCTTCCTCTGCTTAGCGAAACGTAGCCATTCCGCCACAATATTATCAAATTCAGCTTCTGTTAAAGAAGAATACTGTAGAGTAATGTCTCCTAAAAAGAATAATATATAGTTAAACAAGAAATTTAGGATAATAGATACATTTTTAATAATATAGAAAACACACTTCTCATAATTTTGATAAAATATAAATCGCATATTTTAAAATTATTACAAACACCCTTCCATAAGCAATCCATCGCACATTGGTTCGTAAATATTTTGCAAAGGGCGCGATGAATGTTGTCTCTGGGATTATTTCCCCCAACTTTTAAGATAAATTCTTTCTGTAAAAAAAATAAATTTAAAAATTTTTATACAATTAATTAAATTATACAATTAATTAAATAAATTAATGTAAAACTTACAAATTGCGTAACTGCTTCCTCCGTGTCACGCAATAAAGTCTCAAAATCTTTTATAGTTTGAACCGAGCGTAACGGTAAAATTTCAGCAATCAAGCTGTCATTACCCTTTGTTGGAAGAAGAGCGCGGCTCTTCATAACATCTTCCAATCGGTTTACCAATTGTTTGATGTCTCTTAAGATTAAATTGGACGTAGTTTGGGTACGTGTTATTTGTCCTTGATTACGTATTATATCTTGCTGTGTACGTATCACTTGATTAAAGTACTCTGCAATGTGTACAATGTATTTCTTATTATACATAATTTTATATTACTATTTAACTAAAAGCCATTATATGCATATATATTAATACATACTTTTTATATTAGGGTCTGATACTTCATTAACTATTTCTTGCAATTCTTCATGGTTTTCATGTTCTTCAGATAATGGATCACAATCTACAAAAAAGAAATATTAGATATATATATATACATGAATATAATTTTTGTTGACTTTATATACTTATGATCATCGACATATAAAATGAACTGAACATCAATAAATAACCCAGGTAACAGACTGACGTCATTAAACGTCAAAATGACGTTATTTTGACGTCATGTGACGTTATTTTGACGTTTAATGACGTCAGTTTGTTACTTCTTATTCGATGCTCAGTCCATTCTGTATATCGATGCTCATGACAATATACATACTTTGAATGGGAATATCACAAATCTGACGTATATCCACTTCTTGTGTACAAGAAGTTTTCTTTTTCTCTGGAAATGTATACAATATGTAATAAAAATCAAAATATCAAAGATTATAATATCACATACTATACGTACCACAAGGTTGTGATAATGGAATCTTTTTTACTGAATCAATCACAGTTTTGATGCTTTCAATTTCATTGTTGGTGAAATTATTGAAGGTTAAATTGTCCGGACACAGTGGGAAAGCAGATGTAATTTTATTCATACTGCTTGCTTTTTCTTTCTCTGTAAATATTTAAAAAAAATTTTCTTATATAGCCCTTTAAAAATGAAGATTATCAAATATAATAAAACATGCTGTTTTAATACGTACTCTTAATTTTAGCAATTGGTCGATGTACATAATCGTCGTTTTCTTCTTCTTCACTGCTATATCGATTGTACAAAGTATGCTGTCTTTTGCCACGTCCCAATTTGTCTTCGTCGGTTGTTTGGTAGTTGGAGTCAGCTGCACTTTTTCTTGCAGATTCCAAAGATCCTATAATAAAAAAATAGATATATTAAATTGCGCATTAATGATAATAATAATAATATAATACTAATAATAATCACAATAAAAACATTACAATAAATATGTTCTGCGCAAACTTAAATGACTCTTAATAGTGTAATATAATATAATCATAACACACAAAAGATAAAAATGCATAAGTACTTACTACAATGTTTTATGAGTTCAATATTATATTGATCCCAAGTTTCAAAATTCGGACTTGCATAGTTTGCGATTAGAGGTGCAGCATTTGCTGTCCGTGGCCACCAGCACTTCTGTTGTTGATTGTCATCTAGTATAAGCCACGCTGTTGGTATTTCTGAGTATGAATTATCTATAACAAACTTGACAACGGAATATCTTTTTCCTATAGTACCACCAGAATCCATTTTTCTCTAAACAAAAAAACAGTATATAAATTAATTTCTTCACAAATAAAAATATGTATATACATCAAATCACATTAGTAATATCTTATTGACAAAATTATTGATCAAAATAATTGATTGCTTTAATGCAAAATTTTAAAAATCACATTTGATATCATATGTAATATAAAAGTTTTTTTGCTTTAATGCAAAAGTTTTTTTGCATTAATAAATACAAAAATAAGACAAATTTTTGTTATAAAATAATTCTTTTATAAGTTAAAATTTTATACAATATTAATATATGTACACATATATTTTCATCAATGTAATAAATAGATTTTACAAGAATATTTTTTACTCGAACTATGCAATAATATAAATATTTTGTAAGAAAAATATACGTTTATATTTAATTTTAATAAAATTATATTGCTTATGTATACGTTTTTATGCCATATTACTGATATAATTATATTATTGAAATACAATCCTCAAATGCATTTATATTAATTTTGTTAATAATAAATAATTAATAATACATAAAGAATACTTGTTACATCTACATATATTTAAGATAAAATTAAAGATATAAAAATTATTACTAGCCTAGTAAAAATTAAAATCAAATTAATTTTAATTCACATCGTCTCTTGCAATTATATATATATATGATATAAATTATATTTTTTAATAGTTCATAGTTTTAATCAATCAAAATTATAATTTTATGCATAAGATTTATGTACATAAAGTATTGCAAAATTAAAAAATTAAATATTAATACAATTTGTAAATACTCAATCTTACAAATGTTTATTCAATTTGCGCCTTTCCAAATATGCAAATTAAAAGTATTTTCACAAAGACAAAGGAATACATTAAAATGACATTTATATTACGTTATTCAAAATAAATTTTTGATTCTTTACAAAAGTACGGAAAATTAAATAAAAATATTAAATTATTAACGATGAATAACATCTAATTATTAGTATGTAAAAGCGGTATTGTTATATAACAATCAGTCTCATTCATATATTTTAATATTAAACATTTTTGTTTTATTGCATTGAGTGGAACCGTTATAATTTCTGAATTAGTTGCACTTGATATTAAAATATACCAAGTTTTTCAGAAGCACATGGCACAGTAAAAAAAGATTTCGGATTTAGAAAACGTTTTGCGCGAAAAAATAATATATCTTCCTCTTCAATAATATCCAAAATAAAAACTACAGAATTATCATTAAGCAAAGCACATTTATCATTCTCAGTTATTGCAATCTTAAAGTTTTTATATTGAAAATGAGAAATTTTTGCTTTATTTGTATATACAACAACCGGATAATTTACGATAGGGTATTGTATAATTGGTTGCTGTAATTCTTCAAATATGCGATTTGAAAGTTCTTCTAAGGGTTTCCCACATTGATGCAATTTCTTTTTAATTTTATGCATATTATTTTCGTATTTAAAGCAACTAAAATTATCAAGACAACCAAAGTTTTTTACATCATCAGCAATATGTAGAAGGTTATGAACATTATGTGATAGATATTGTTTACCATAAATAGTACTGTAATTGGATACAAAATGTAATAGTAAAGAATGTGCATAAGCAAGACCTGTCTCATTTGTACGTATTTGTGGATTAGCCATTATTCTTATTGCAACACTAAGAGAAAGAAAGTGATTATACAAAATTGGAGGAATGGTTGACTGCAAAATTACTATTCCAGTATACAACAAAAATTGACGCAATTCCGTGGCTTTCCATTTATCAATATCAACTAAAGTTCTAGGCTTTCTAGCAAATTCAGATGGAACGCTTTGTTTAAAATTTATTAAATATTGTGAAATTGAATCAATACTTTCTGCATTTAATCTATTTTCTTTATTTCCTTTAATCCATAATTGCAACAACCGTTTCATAACACCTAAGCAAACAAGGTGCATATAGTCAAGCGGAATTTGCGAAACCATTCCGATGGAAAGCTTTTCCAATACAGAATCGCCTGTGTGATGTTCTATTTGAATTCGATTCTTAAACGAGTCATCTGTACGTAAAATGTTATTAATTTCAGGAAAAATTACTTTATTATTTACGAAATCGCCTTCTTGCATACATTTGGAACACGAAAAATATCCTGTGTGGCCTTTTGTGTACGTTATAAATGATTTGGCTGGAGCATCGCAAAGTATTGCATTAATATTCACTTTATATTTCTTGTTATTAACAATTATGCCATTTTCAAAAAGAAACAAAAATTCATTAACAAAACTACCAAGAAAATCATTCGCATCGCTCGGTTTACACATACCATGATATATACCAATTACGAATGGCAATGTATGAATACCGATATCTTCAATAGATGCCATGATAGGCCAGAATTGACTATTAGAACTTTTCGAAATAGGTAAGCCGTCTATATTTATATTTATTTTAATTTTATTTGTGTTAATAAACTGGGAGTAATTTTTTATAGATCGTTCTAGAGCAGAAGTAAGGCCAAAATGTGCATAACGACCATTACCCATATGTTTTATGTTTACGGATGCGTTACGTGGTGTATTAACTAAAACTCTAACATCACTAGGCAATTCAGTATGGCCATGCTTTCTTAATATTCTCAATAATTCATTAGCAGTATTGTGAGGAACGTTACGTTCTATAATTAATTTCTGTAAATCTTCTCGTAAGCTTAGCTCATGGTTGCACTTATTATTATCTATCAATGTGGGTATATTATTTGTCTCATCAAAAGTACATATATTATTGTTCTCAAGTTGAAAATCTATTGATAATTCATCAGATTGGTTTGTTTCGTCGAATAATGTACTATTCGTGCAAAAATTTTCTGAATTTGTGTTAATATTAACCGCTTCTTCTACTACATTAGGTTCTAAATTTGATAAAGTTAAATATGAAGTCGAATTTTGATTATGTAATAAAATCGAATCTTCATTACGTAAATCTCGATTAATAATCTGATTCCTTCGTCTTTGTGATAAATATCTAATATCTTTAGGCATGATAAATAAAGTTATACCTCAACAAATATTGTTAAAATATACGCGCGTTACACACCTCAATATTAAATCTGAAAAGAATCTTAAAATAAAAATATATTTTAATTAAATAAAAATATATATATATATATATATATAAAATGAATAAAATAAATACTTCATAAATGTTAAAGAAATATTAATGACATTAATGTTAAATAAAACGTTTTTTAATAAAAAAAACAATCAATTATTTTATAATTTTTAAGATATTTGAAAATGAGTTTTTTCTTAAATATTTTGTTGATACTGGAGGAGTATTTTCACAAACAGTAACAATCGTATTCAAAAATATTATTTCATTGCAAAAACTATTGATGCAAACCCAAACTATGTACGAGAAGTACTTTACATTTATTAAAATTAAAAAGTAATAAGTTTGATAAAAAATCATGTGTTCTATCCAATAAGTATATGTACATAGCATGCAGAATGCATAGGTGATAAAAATAATATATACTATTAAATTATATATTATTAAATTATACTATTAAATTATATAATGTAAACATTCAAAATAATGTAAAATAGCAAAGTATTGTAATTGTAAATAAATAGCAATTAATGTATATAATATTAATATTTGAATGAAAAAAATATATAATTAAATAACTCGATTTAAAATAAAATAATATATAATAAAATAACTTATATTGATTAATATTGATAAACATTTATATCAATAAAAAAGATGCAATTGAATAAAAACTAATAACTTTTTAGGTTTATTTAACTACATATTTTTGTTACTAGATGCAAATGTTCATCGTTAGACATAACCACTTCATAAGTATAATTATTACAGATATTTGTATCAATTACTTACCACTTTTGATGAAACAGCAGTTTTTAATGAATTGTAACACAGGGAACAGCTTCGAAGCCAAATTAAATCAAACTCGCTAACCAACCAATTTAGGCAAGCGTTGATTTCTATCAATGTTCTGCAAAGAGCCTGGAGTATGCTGTAAAACAAGATATTTAAAATACATTAATATCGACACATATAATATTATTTCAATACATTAAATATCATGTTCATTATAAATAGCAATAAACATTACATCTAATTAAATAATATGCAATTAAACAGAGTTATAAGAACCAATAACTAGCTTTTATGAATCTGTTTCACTGCATATTTTCTTTATTAAAAATTATCGAAATTTGCACATAATTATAGTTTATAATTTAAATGAATAAAATGCTAATTCATCCAACTTAAAATGTAACAAAATAGGATATATATGAATAATTTATATTGGCACGTGGAGCATAACCTATTTTTTGGACAACAGTTTTGTAAAATTTAGAACAAATATTAATAAAAAGAATATTATAAATCAATTTACTTTCACATTGTGTAAAAAATCCATATTTAGTATATATTAGATGATTATTTATAAAGACAGAAACGATTACCTTTGATATAAATTAGCCGCCAAAATTCCGTTGATGAACAGCAAACCGGAAAGAGCTTTCTTCTCAGCAACACATACGTACACACACAGGACACGGAAATACTTGTTGCGCGGCAAAATTTAAAAGTGATGCTTATTACAAAATATGTTATATAACATTTAAATAATGCTAACGCAACGCTTGTTATATAACATGTTATATTTTTATTTTATTATTGTTATATTGTTATAACTAGAAAATACCAAAAAAATATAACAGTTTTAAAATACAGTTAAATTGTTGTTACAAAAGAAAATTATGTAACATCAACATTAATAATTTATAACTTCTGTTATATTACGTGTTACTTGTAGATTATATAATAATTATAATCTGTGTTTGCTGGGTACATACTACTGATACCGCGCGAATACGAAAGATCTGACGCGCATTTTTACGTACATAATAAATCGGAATATTTGATAAAAAAATATATACATAAAATATATGATATATATATATGAATATATATATATATATATATATATATATATATATACATACATACATACATACATACATACATATATACCATATATATATTTTTATCATATATTTTATACATGTGATAACACATGTAATTTTTTGTAATACCAGTAACGAAAGTTCCAATTTCGATTGCTGTTTAGCGTGCGGAAAATGAATTTCTCAACGATTCAATGTATGCCTTATTTTACCGCACAGGTTCGAGAAAAACACCTTTATGATCTATATTATCGCACAGTTTATAAAGTAATTCTATAATATTATCGTTTAAATAAAATTATTATCTTCAATAAATAATATTTATTTAAAAAACTAATATAAATAATATTTATCTTATTATATGCAATTTCGTCTTTTCGCTGTAATCGACTTTAGGGCATACGTGTACTTTTTGACTTCGAATGATCCCAAGAACATAAAGTTTCACTGTGGACATTACGTTGCAAGACACCCTGTATATATACACACATATATATTAGAGTGTAAAAATATCTATCTATATATATATATATATATATATATATATATATATATATAATATATTACACATACCTATTGATTTATTTAGCAATCTGTCTATCTATCGAATTATCATCTATCGATCAACTTATCTATCTATCTATCTATCGATCTATCTGTCTCTTTTCTCTTTTCTACATTGCATTCTTTTATATATGCACACGTAAATAATAATTTTTTTTAAATATTGTACATTACAAAAGTAAAAATAATTAAATTTATAATCTAAAAATGTATAAAAATCTTTTATGAATATAATGATTACAAAGTTTTAGTAGATAATTTTTTGTAATAAATAAATGATTTATATGATTTATTCTTATCTAACTACTGCTCTGTTTTGATAATAATAGCATTATTATGTATTCAATCTCTAAAATACTTTTATATAAATCATTTATTACAAAGAATTATTTACTAAAACTTTGTAATCATTATATTCATAAAAGATTTTTATATATTTTTAGATTATAAATTTAATTATTTTTACTTTTGTAATGTACAATATTTTTAAAAAATTATTATATACGTGTGCATATATAAAAGAATGCAATGTAGAAAAGAGAGAAGAGACAGATAGATCGATAGATAGATAGATAGATAGATAGGTTGATCGATAGATGATATTTCGATAGATAGACAGATTGCTAAATAAATCAATAGGTATGTGTATATATTATATATATATATATATAATATATATATATATATATATATACAGAGTGTCCCAAAAAAGATCGGAACACTGATCGAATCTCGAAAAGTATACGTTTTACAGAAAAAAGTTTCAGACAAAAGTTTTAAAAAATTTATTTATTGATCTTATCAGTTTGACCTTGGACGGCGTTACTAAAGTCAGAATAAGGTCACCTTGAATTTCTTAGATGGAATCCTATAATTTTTATTACATATTCTTGTAGCTTATCTGGAGAGTTTTCCAAAACACTAATAAATTATTTTTTATGGAGTACTCTTTGATTTATAAAGGCTAACAATTTTTGACATAAAATGTAAAATATCTTTGTAAAATATTCCATTTTCGGTAATCATATCTTTTTTGCACGGAATAATGAGACCAATGAATTGGTGTAAAAAACACATAGTTGCTTATAAAAAAAAGTATGCTGCTGCATATTGAATATTACATATTCAATTATCTGTTTTCTTTAATAAATTGATTTCTTATTATACTGTGCAAAAAAGTAGGTATGATTATCGAAAATGGAATATTTTATAAAGATATATTTTATGTCAAAAAATTGTTAGCTTCTAACCTTTATAACTCAAAGAGCACTTTATGAAAAATAATTTTATTGTAAATTTAACATATATGTATAAGACAGGCAATAAGAGCCAAATCGCGGATGACAGTGCGTTATCCTAAACGAAACTAAATTTTTTCGTTAGAATTAAATACCTTGTGCACAAGGCACCAAATTTTACTTGGACACGGCCAAGATATAAAATTGGAATAATCTCTACAAGAGATTTTTAATTCCATGTATCCCCTATTCCCCCTAAAGAAATAAACGCGAGAGAAAAATATAGATCCGAAAGTCGCAGAATCGGAAATCGAACCCGAGACCTTTCGCTTGCCGGGCGACTGCTCTTCCAACTGAGCTATTCAGATCCTTTCGATTCTATATTTTTCTCTGTTATATATATTAATGTTGGTAAACAAACGCCTCTAAGCCAGCGTGTATAAATTAAGAGTTTAACTAGGCTCTGTAATATAAATATAAATTTAACATATATAAGACAGGCAATAAGAGCCAAATCGCGGATGACAGTGCGTTATCCTAAACGAAACTAAATTTTTTCGTTAGAATTAAATACCTTGTGCATAAGGCACCAAATTTTACTTGGACACGGCCAAGATATAAAATTGGAATAATCTCTACAAGAGATTTTTAATTCCATGTATCCCCTATTCCCCCTAAAGAAATAAACGCGAGAGAAAAATATAGATCCGAAAGTCGCAGAATCGGGAATCGAACCCGAGCCAATCGAACCAATAATAATTTTATTGGTTATTAAAAAAAAGATATTTTATATCAGAGACGATTTATTCGTCTGTTAGTTGGTTCTAAAATATCTTCTCCCAGAACAATTTGCATGTGCGTTCTGGTTATTAAAAAAAGATATTTTATATCAGAGACGATTTATTCGTCTGTTAGTTGCTTCTAAAATATATTCTCCCAGAACGATTTGCATGTGCGTTCTGGTTATTAAAAAAAGATATTTTATATCAAAGACGATTTATTCGTCTGTTAGTTGCTTCTAAAATATCTTCTCCCAGAACGATTTGCATGTGCGTTCTGGTTATTAAAAAAAGATATTTTATATCAGAGACGATTTATTCGTCTGCTAGTTGTTTCTAAAATATCTTCTCCCAGAACGATTTGCATGTGCGTTCTAGTTATTAAAAAAAGATATTTTATATCCTCATATACGTAATTGAAGCAAGTTGTAACGACAAAAGCTTACAAATTATTGGAGGAAATTGCAGTAATCACTGGCGATGTATTTCTTTTGACGGCACCAAGCTTCGAGTGTACGACAGTCTATCTGGCTGTACATACGAAACATTGAAGGCTAAAGAAAAAAATTACATTTATCGCCGTTATCCACAAATAAATAAAAATAATATAATATTTGAAAACGTTCAAACACAACCTGATGGTATATGTTGTGGAATCTTTGCTGCCGCATTTGCTACAACTATAGCTTTAGGAGGAAATCCTTGTAATGAGACATATTCTGCTGATGTTAAACGTATGAGACAACATTTCTTAAAAAATTATAGCAGAAAATAAACTGTCGCTTTTTCCTAACTAATAAAAATTTATTATTATACTAGAAATGTGTAATTCTAATAAATATTGTTGCAAAAAAGTGTCTAATACAAATGTCTCATTTGCAAAAATCGGAGAGACGAAAAAATACATATATTATGGTTGCGTTCTCACGGGAATGGGCGATGGAGGGGCCCATTTCATTCTATATATGCATAAAAATGTTTTGTATATTATATAATATTCTGTTATATTATATAAAAATATACAGCTGGTTATTTGAATATATTTGCTATTTTCTCAATTATTGATAAGAGGAGAAAAGCGAATTGTGCGTACTGTATACATTGTAATTTATAGAAAATTACAGGTAATATCAATATACGTACCATACACGTATGTGTATACATGTATGTGTATATGTATTTGTATTATGTATGCATTTATGCATGCATTTATATATGTAAGAAATATATATATATATATATATACATGTATATAGATGCATATATCCATGCATAACATATATATAATATGTACATGGTGATTCAAAAGTCTGGCAATGGCTAATTATCTCCGAAAATAGTGGTCTTATGAAAAAAATACTAAAGGTGTTGACTTTTACCTAGATGTCAAATTTGAGATCATTTATAAGTCAACTTAATTTTTAGAATCCTTTATTTTTTATTAGATATTCTTGTAGCTTATCTCGACAGCTTTCCAAAGCATTATAATAAAACATTTTTTCATGAAGTACTTTTTGAATTATAAAGATTCGAAGCAATTGTTTGACATAAAATTATATCTTTGTAAAGTATTCAGTTTTACGTTATCATACTTTTTATTTTTATGCACATAATAATGAGACCAATTTGGTGTAAAGAAAATGCACCCAGCAAACACAAAATATAACTGCTATGTTATATGTATATAATACTATATAACGTGCATGTTACATGTAACATATACGGTAATTTTTCACTCATAGATGTAACATTTGTAATATGACATGTTATTTATATATTGTAATTACATCTCAGATAGCATCGATATTGTAGGATGCCGAAAGATAATCTTTCGCGAAGTCACTATCCTGTCTAGGATATAATTACAATAAATAATAGAATCTATAAGTGGGAAATTACAACTAACGTGTATGTTACATGTTACATGCACGTTAATTACGTGTTATATAGCAATTATAATGTTGTTAGCTCGGCAGTTGCTTCTTGAAAATTACATACGTCTTTTGCAACTGTGTTTTGTTTGCACCTATTGATTGGTCTCATTATTCCGTGCATAAAAGTATAAATGTATAACGAAAATTGAATGTTTTACAAGATATTGTCA